TTGTGATAAGATATGCATTCTGAATGAGTTGGACAGCTTCATTGCTAAGGCATTGCTGGTTGCAGTCCACATGGGCTCTTTCTTAGGGTAGCTTCATTCACTGCTGCAGCTTTCTTCATCAGATATTTCACATTCCTGGCATGTCCATATTGAGGTCTCCACTGCACTTTTGTCTTCATTCTCACAGCTTGACACACTACCCTTTCAGGAACACTGCCTGGCTTCCTAGGGCTTCTTCTGAAGTATGTGTAGAAGCTTCGTGACCCCATAACTCTTACATTCTACATGCATGAAAAACTGGCACCATGTGGGTAATTCCAAAGTTTGCTGCTAGCTTGAGCTATAGTGAGGGTGTCTTGCATCATGGCTGCAGAGGCCACTGAGTTCTTGGATGGCTAATCATTGTGAAATAAATCCCAGTGGACCAATTTCCTAGGTGTCCCTTCTTGAACAGGGGGCCCAGAGGCTCTCTTCTCAAATAAAAACTATATACTTTTTAGCTTCTGAGTCAGTCTTCTGGTTCCCAAGATGCCTTTAAGGCATTTTTCCATTGTCCTGATGCAAAGTACTTGGTTTTTGTTTAATGCTGATCTAATCTTTTCAGCACCGGTGCTCTCCTTTGCCTGAAATTTTTAGGCACTTTCTTTTCCATGAAACTGAAAATTTTTCAGATAATTCAGCTCTGCTATTTACTCCTGATTCTCACTGTGAATGTGACTTAAAGCAGTCTGAAGTACTCATACCACAGCCTGAACATTAGGCTGCCTTGAGATTTCCTCAGCTAGATTCATTAGTCCACTGCCTGTTAGTTCAGTTTTCCGTAATAATCTCAGGACACGGGAAAAAAGTGGACAAATTTTCAGCCATGGTGGCAATGCACATGGCATCTAGTCTAATTCCATTCCTTGTTCCCAACTGAAACCTCCTGCAACTGACCTTTACTCTCTGAATTCCTATTAGAATTCTGATCTTCTGAGCTCCAACCAGATCTCCCATTGAGCTTTCTAGCTCTTCTCCAGGCTGCATCATCAAACCTTTCCACGTTCCTCCTATGTACCAGTTCCAGAGGCTTCTGAACCAGTGATCAGGTAACATCACAGCAGGAACCCCATTTCTCTGGTACTAGTATCTGTCCTAGTTACCTTATTTTTGCTGAAACACAATACCAAACACTCACAACTTAAAGGACAGGAAGTTTATTTTGGCCATAGTTTCAGTTCATGCTTAGTTGGCTCCAAGGCAGGGAGAGCAGAGGGGCATGGCAGAGGAAAATGTTCCTGAACCTATAGCAAACAGGAAGCAAAGAGCAGGAGGAGCCAGGAATAGGCCCTTCCAGATCATGCCTTCAGTGACCCATCTTTTCTTTTCACCTCATCCCCTTCAGAACTTGAGATTTCAGGGTACATTTTAGATTTAATCCATAATACCTTGCTACTGCTCAGTGGAGACAGAAGTGTAGGCTCCCCAGTCAGTGATCATTGATGCTCATGGTGGGTTGCTTCTTGGTATTGATGGGTAGAGGTACCATTCTGATCCCAATATGGTCTCTGCTGACTTCACACAGGGAATTTGTCACTGCCAGGCTGAGTTCCCACTAGGTGTTTTCTGACACTATCCCAGCAGACAGTGGATAGCACCTTGTTTCTGCCAGGTGGAGATGGAAGTCCAAGCTTCCCAAAGGGTGTCTACTGATATGTGGGCATTGAAGGGTACAGGGGGAGCACCTGGGGGCCTCCTTGGGCAGTGTGGATGGATATTCTGGTTTTCTACTTCCTTTTGAACCGTTCTGGGAGATTCTATTTTTTCAGCCTTGCTGGGGTGGATGTCTAGGCTCCCTACTTGGCCTTCTCTGGTGTGAACCATTCCTGATTTACTGTTTTTTTTTTTTTTTTTTTTTTCCTGTACTGTTTGGCTTGGGTCTAAGTGTTAATGTTTAAAAGTTTTCTGTCTTGTAAGCTACTTTAACTCTGTGTTGGTGATATCTGAATCAGAAAGAAAACCCAGGGATTTTTTTCTCTCTAAGATCTGAGGTTCCTAGTCTATTTTGTGCTCTTTTCTCCACTTTTCAGAAACTTCCTAAGCTCATGGTATATACAATAAAATGTCACAGTTTTTAGCTGTACTTGCTAGGAATAGGAGAAATTTTTGTCTGCTCCATCAGGCCAGAAGTAATATTTCAAGAATGCTTCTCTTTAAACACACCTAACTTATGGATTTATGTTAGTCTGAAAGTAGAAAAACCTGAACATTGTGATTATGAGCATTTTCATATTCTGGTGTAACAGGTAGTACACTATCATTTTAGTGTCATTCTTCAGTAAGGGACACGTATCTGCTACAAAGAAAGAAAAGAATGTGGTATAATGGACATTAAGCATGTTTGTTCTCTCACTGCAAATGACTAAAGAGACAAAAGATCAATTTAATGGATCATGAGTTAGTACATTCTAGTCAAACTTATTCCTGGCTGAACATTTTTTTTAGGACAAAGTGCCTTTAGAAGATATGTGATACTTTGGTTCTGGAAAAGTTTATTCCAATAAAAATACTGTATCTGCCAAGAAAAAAACAAAATAAATATTTTTAAGTGAAAATTGTACAGAGGATGATTTGAAATGTTTATGTTTGATAATGAAGTCAAATTTCTCTGAATCAGTTTATAGTTGTGCAACTTGCTTAGAACTTACCCAGTGTTTTCTAGGATTGAAGTAAAAGAAAATATTTAATGGAGAAAACCAGTCAGGAAAAAACCCAGCAAAACAAAATAAAGCAAAGAAACGAAAATGTTGAATGATGCCTCATTGTTCTTTGAGAATGAATTGGAAAGAGTGATTTTTTTGTCATGCCTAGCTGGATGAATCACATATTTCCATTCCATTCTCTCGTTTTTTATTTTTATTTATTTATTTATTTATTTATTTATTTATTTATTTATTTACAGTCTTTCATTTTGATGTGTGAAATTTCACAGCTCACTTTCAGTGTAGCAACTTAGATTTCAGTTGCAGTATCCTGATAGCTAAAAATCCTGGTCTGTATTTCAGTTCCCCAAATTAGCTTTTGCTTATTGTTTTCTTTCCTAAAGGCCATTAATGTAAATGAGAGCACTGAGCTACGAATCCAATCTGGCAATCACCAGCACTGTGTTGCTGACTGTTCACTGAGCTTTATTTTGTGCTATAATCATATTAGAAAATAGTATACATAACTTTTAGGAATTTGATGATTTTTTTTGACAATTTGTTTCATAGAAGGGCAAAGGACACATGTTTGTATCTCACACACATTGCAGCACTCCTGCTAACTCATCTCACTGCTGCGGGACAGCAGCCACAGCCATACCCGCTCCCACTTTCCCCAGGCCCTTCATTAGCATCCCTGCTTCCAGGTGAAGTGTATGTTTGGATCCCTGATGCAGGCTGCTGGCTTCTCCCGTTGCACCTTACATCATCGCGGTCAGAGGCACCAAGAGTGAGCAGGAGTTACACAGCGTGCTTGTGGTTTTTAGCCCTTGTTCCTGGTTCCAGCTGGGTTTTCCTTTTTCTTCCTTCTCTTTTCGTAACCTTCTCTTTTCAATTGCATGATCTGAGGCAATTCAATCAGACACGAAACAAGTACATGCCAGACTTTTTAAACAGCTCTGACAGTTGCAATGGGTCAATTCCCTGTAACAAATCATTTATCCTACTCCACATCTATCTATCTCATTCTTCAGAATCTATCTTAACACCTCAGTAGTTATTCTCTGGTTGAACCTTGACTGTTAGAGTGCTCTTCACCATCATCTCAAGCTTTCAAATATTATGATTCCCAAACTCATTAAAATAAATTAAAGAATTACCAGATTTCTGTTAAATATGACGTTTACTAGTTCCACCTTCAAAAACAAATTCTGATTCACTAGATATAGTGTACAGAATCTCCATTTTCCATAGGCATCAGATTTGGCACCACACTTTGAACAAACACCTATGAATATTGTATCACATTTTAAGATGCATTTCATTGAAATTAACATTTTTCAATAACAGAATTTCCTTTTCATTACCAGTGGTATTAAAGCCAAATCTAGGTGACTTTATCCAACAAGCATTGATTATTCGCTTGTTATATGTTAGGAATATGTTCCATGGTGGAACTGGGTATTAAGTTATCTAGGTAAAGGAGAAGCAAGCATGGGTGTTGGAGTCTTATTAAATGCTATTAGATCTCCTTGTGTTACAATTATTACTGGATTTTCTGACAATGCTTTAAGAAGTCTTGTGATTTTTGAAAGCAGGTTCAGGTATAAAGGAAAGTGCAAATTAGTGAGATAGGGTGATTCTGCAGTTGCCATCCCTGGACATCCAAAAATGTACTGCATAAAGGTATTTAAAAATCAAAGTCTAATATCAAAATATTTTTCATATAAAATGTTTAAAAATAATAATTGAGTAGATAATGGGCTGGTTGACACATACCTTACCATTATAGAGTCTCATTATTAAGGTAAAAATGCAGCTCGAGACCATGTTGACTAACCCTGTTTCGTAAATGACAAACCAAAGCCCAAAGATGTTGGGTATTTCCCCCAGGCT